ATAAATTATTATTATATAAATGATTATAAGTAGCTTTGATTTTGACTCACGAATAACTTCAATGCGCTTGCCATTTTGAACTGCATTTGGAATGAGAAGCTTGTGTTATTTATATAAATTTTGTAATCAGCAATCAATAACCTCTGGAAATAAACAATAAATTTTGAGACATTTTAAGTATTATATTTAATACTCATCGGATCGGACAAGCGGTAATGATTCCAAGAAATTTATATTAAAATTTTAAAACATTACTGATAAGAATATGGTCTTGATACCGAAAGAAAAAAAACACGTATTATTTCCAAGAAACTAAGAAAGAAACTTTTAAATTGAAAAAAGTAAGATTTATTACCAACTTTTTATTACCAAGACAAGAATTTTCATTAAAATAAGGTGTAGAACCGACCACTGTGCAATAGAACTTGTTGGAGACCCCGCTCATCAATTGAGATATTATGAAATCGGTCCTCATACCGCTCCCCTTGGCTCCTTTCTGGGGCAGAAGTGCGTGCGGTCTGCATTCGCTAATAGAGATGCAGCCACATCAACAACCGCATCCCTTTGGACTCCAACCGAAAGAGCCAACTGATCTGAACAGAGCCCAGAACTAAGAACAGGGCCCGGGAATCGCATAGCATTTGCCTTGTTAATGATGTGCCGTGCGCGCATTTAAATAAAGTGCCGCCCATTATAATGAGCCGACTCTGTTTCCATATCTCCTTCTACGCCTTTAATTACACTGGAAAAATAGGGAAAACTTCAAAAGATAACCAAAAATTTGTATAACTTTGTTGTAATAATTCTTGGGATAAACCTTAAAATTGTTTAAAGAGTTTTTGACATTTTTTTGTAAACCCTTTAGACAGCTTTTCATTTCAGTGTATTTCCATGCCTTGGCTACATGGTCTGGTCATCGTTGTCGACATCTCAACGTCATAAAGGAGCGGCCAACAGAGCCCGGATACCTCTTATGACCTCCAGTTCCTAACTCTACGCATTTGTTCGTTTTCCTTGACTGGCCCTGTTCGAGTTCTAATGAGCTACTCATAAAACGCGCTAAAGTTTTCACATAAAACGGGTTGACCATTGTCGGGCTTCCTTATAAAACACATAATTAAGCCCGCATGGATCGGAGATCGGAACTCCCTGTGATGAAAGCCAACTGGTGGCAGGGAAACTGGCACCATATCATAAGACATATGTATTTGGCTATACAGATCTCAGTCTAACGATTGGTAAAAATGCGTTTTTAATAGGCTAATTATTAACAAAGAATCAGCATTGTTGCCATGCTTGGGAATATCTTTGGAACAGAAAGAGATCTACCACATTAGTTGTAACACTGTAAAATCCTTACTATATCTAGAGTTTTAGGGTATAATAGGACTTATCTAAGAGTTTAATTAATCATGTTTTTCATATTCATCCTCCGTTGATTTGGATATAAAATCCATTATATATCATGTGACATATGTAAGGCTGACATCTGTGACTCATCGCAATTTGGAAAACTGGCATTTGTAATCAGGCGGAAGAAAAATATTTGCTGATGCCGGTTTCTGTCTCCAGTTGCATCTTCATAAAAACCAAACATTTATCGCCCAGCGTTTTTCCAAGCCATTTTCCAGTCCACAAAAAAATAGAAAAACAAAATATTTTTTCCCTGTGAAAATGCGCAAATAGAAAGTTATCGTCTCTCACCCGCTGAATGCAATAAAACAATTAAGGCAAAGTGAGTAGGCCGGGGCGAGAGGGGCAGTGGGAAAACTTGGGGGGAAAACTGAGTCAAAACTGAAAGCTCAGCGAAAAGAAAGCAATGCTGGGAGGGAAAGACGATCTTGCAACTTTAATGACAATGGGCACCACACAGTTTGAGGAGCACTGGACGGCCCACTCCTCCTCTTTCCGGGATCCCTGGCGGAGGATTCCAGCCCCTTTTTTCTTGTGTGGTCGGCTATTGACATAAAATAAACATTTCCAAACACACACGAGCACACACATTGGAACAATCGCCTAATTATGGCCCTTTGCGATTCTACTTCTTCTTCGCGCTCTGCTGGCCTGGCCCATTCAATCGATTCAAATGCCCGACAATCTTTTCAATTATTTCTTATCACCTATGGGACCAAGGATGGTGCTATTACACTAAGAAAAATATGATGCAAAAAATAAAGACTTCTTCTTTTCAAGAAAATATTCAAGCACTTGAAATTCCTATTTATTCTAAAGCTTATTCTTTTCCATTTTCAGATAAAACAATAATTCATTTTATTTATAGGAAAACATTTTTTCCCTGTACCTGAAATACTTGACTGAAGCAACAATGTTGCAATGTTCTGGCCAACTTGCTAATGGCATCTCTTGATTTTGTTTGTTCGGTTTTTATTATTCTTTTCTGGGAAGATGCTTAGCATATTTGACCATTTCAGGACGTTGATCGGGGCGAACGAGTATCTTAACTGTCCTGAGCAACGACAATCAATTGATATAAATTTGAGCGAAATTTTTTCCTATCGCTAAAATTTCCCGCCGGCTTTATAACTTTGTCGGTTGTTACAGACATCCTCCTCTTTTTTTTGTGGCCGGTTTTAAGTGACGGCATGTGCAAATTTTTGGCTTTCAGTTAATTTTTGTATATTTTTTTTCCAAGCGCCGCCAAACGTTTTTCGGCGGATGGCTGTTGTTTGATTAATTACCATGGCCAATGCGAAGGAAAATCGCTTTACGAGTTTTGTTCGATGCCGCGGCTTTACCAAATTGTCCACAAGTTCCGGCGAAATAAAAATAAAAAAAACAAAAAAAAGTTGACAAATGTGTAGCCGGAGGATGGGGACTAGGGAAAGGCCTCTACCGATTTTCTGTCTGGCATTATCCCAAATTGTAAGCTGGGAAAGTAATCTGGTAGTAAAGTAAACGTTTAACAATTTTTCAGCATTTTTGCGATAAATGGCCTCGAAGTCTCATACTCTACTTTTAAGTTTACTATTTCCTCCTAAATATACATGGATATTTCTTAATAAGCTAATCTCTCACACCTATTGAATTTCACCTGGAAGTTCTTCAAGCTTAGAAAAGTGAAACCATTGGCGCAACCTGAGGTGACACCTGCACACCATCTCTAGTCTCCATAACCGTAACCGTCTTACATCGATCCATCGATCCGCAGAGCCACTTGCACTTTCAGCATCGTCATTCTAGTCGCGGACAACTTTCATCTTTCATCTGGTATCTTTCGCTGCTGCACTTTCGTTCAATCGGTCAACGCAATATGGCTGTATCTGTGTGTTTGTATCTGTGTGCTCACGTATCTGAGAGTACGAGAGTATCTGTGTATCTGTGTGTGGTGTTGCGTTGCGTTCCATTGCCTTGGGGGCACCTTATGATGCCCGCCGTCGATGTCGATGGTAATTTGCATATTTTCCGCATGCGCAGACGACTCAGGCCGGGCAGTTTATTAAACAAAAATATTGACATGAAAATCGGCTTTCGATTTTCATGCAACGCAGTGGCGGCACTGCGACAAATTGTGCTGCAGTTGCCCCACACAGATCTGCCACACTTTGCCGGTCGCCCCGCGATTCGCACCACCAAAACGGGATTAAATGGAAAGTGAAGTTGCACATGCGTCGCCAATCAAGCCGATGAAGCTTTAAGTCCGAAGCTGCAGCTCGGTTTGTCGTCTGTGTAATTAGGACAAAATGTCTAATGTTTACCAATGCCGAATGCCGAAAAAGTAAATACCACTCGGTCCAGTTTGGTTTCGTTTTACGCACTTTAATGATCATTTATCTCTTCAGTGGTCCCCGTGTTTGTCGACCATTTAGTTGGAGCCGTTTTTAAGCCGATCACTCGGCCGGCTCAGCTTTTCCCTCCACAACTGGGAAAGTTCTTCCATCAATCTGACCAAAGATGTCGTCTTCCGATCAATGGAATTCAAGCCAAGATGGGTTGGGTGACTATCTTTTATTTCCTCTGTTTTTTTTTTATTGGGGGAAATTCAATTTCACTTAACCCCAAAAAAAAAAAAAAATGAATCTGAAACTGAAAGTTTTGGCTTCTGTTTGGGGATTACATTTTTGGATAAGATGTGTTTGATTTTCTAGTCTCTCTTTAATCATAGACTTTTACAAATTAGATTAGTCTGAAATTGGGGTCATCCCTTTGCAGAATGCCATATGTATGTGGAAAATCAAGCCGCACCACAAATGGCCAAAAGAAATACCGTTAGCGGCTTGGCGGCTCCATTAGCCAATGAAACCCTCTTTGCGCAAAACTGAATTAAAGCAACCATTATTAATTTAATCATATTTCATAGAGATTGAGCAATCAGCTGGAAGAGAAGCTCAGAATTCTTGGCTACCTGACACTGGTGCAACATCAGAACACAGAACAGCGGCAGAAGCATCTTCTGCAATTATTTGTGCATTAGAGGAAGCCTGCTACCTCGAGCTGTCGGCTAATGTCAGTTTAAGTGTTGCAATGAATAGAAAACATACCAAGGAAGTGCACTGCCACACAAACCTATGTATGCCAGCCAGAGTCGAGGGGAAAAGCGAGATGGTGGGAAAATAGTGTGACGGTTGCATCTGGAAACTTGCAACTTGCAACCTGCAACCCGGTTGCTGGGCCTCAAATAATATTCGCATTAAGAATGCCTGAAATGTGCGCCAAGTCCTTAAATGCATCCGCTATACGATTCGCAATGGCAGCCAAATCGAATTAATGCAGTTGAATGCCCCAAAAATGGTAGCCCACGCAGTTGTTGCAAGTAGTGCATTGCATGTTGCAGATTGCACGTTGCTCAATGAAAGCCATTGGGCTGCCGTGACCATAAATGCAATGAGAACTATTTTTTGGTAAGACCTAATGAAAATCACATTTAAACAGAGTGTTTAATTCATCCTGTTGACCCACATCTATTGGGCCAATAAAAGGTGTTACCATTGTAAAATATTTAAAAAAGAAAACCACTTCAAAAACAAAACACCTCTAAGTGAATTTAATAATAAATTCGTACAATGTTTATAAAAACAATTTAAAATATATTAAATAATAAGTTAAGTATCAAGATGACTTGGTGAGTAGTAGAGAGGATGAAGTCGTCGATGAGTGGGAACAAAAGGCACATTGAAGGGATTAGACTGAAAATCATTCGTCAATAATCTCGGTTATTTTGGCACTTTCGGCAAAAACATCCGGGACTTCGGCTTCGTCGGAGCGCTCGATAATCCGATACCGCTCCGCCGCCGCCAAACACTGGATGGCCACCTCCCTGGCTTTGGCACGCGAGTCATCCGGCAACTGGCCCAGTCCACTCAGCAGCTCCATGATGTCCGTCTCGAAGAGCTTCTTGGCGATCTCTTCGCCGGCATTGATCATGTTCAGGATAACCACAATGCCGCGATGCTGGACCGCAGGACTTGGGTTGGCGATCAACGTGTGCAGAATGTCCAGGCAGCTGGCAATGCCCAAGATCTTCTCGCAGCACTTAACTGACACAGAGGTCAACATGGCCAAAGCTCCGGCACATGCCATGGCCGTCTCCTCGTCCTCATCCTCACAGAGCAGAGCCAAAAACTTGACGCGGTCATTGTCGCCCTCGAACATCTTTACCACGTCTTCCGACATAACTAAATTGCACAAACACTGGGCGGCGGCACGAGTCAGATATAGATGGTCTTCCATCAGATAGAACTCTATCTTGGACACACCCTGCTCCTTGATAATCCTCTGACGCACGCTCTCATTCATGCTGGCCAGGTTGGTGAGCGCCATTAGGGATTCAAAGTTCTCCAGCGCCGAGCAGTCCTGAAGCAGTAAGTTCAACAGAGGACGAATCACGTCCAGGGATCTTTGACCGCTAAACGCCACCTCAGGATTGATGGTGATGCCAATCCTAGCCAGTGCCTGACAAGCATGACGCTTGCCCTTTTCAGTACCTTCGAGAGCCATGCGAAGGAGCGCCTTAACGCCACCATCCTGAACAACTTTTCCTCGCAACTCCCTAAGGCCACATACGGCATTCAGGACGCGGGCAATCAGCTCCTGGGAATTGTGACTCTCTGTCTTGGCCAAGGCGCACAGGGCAGTGGTAATACCTTCATTGGCCAGAACCGTAATACGCTTGTTGATGAAATCCACATCGTCCAGCTCATGCTCTTCGGGTATGTGATGTTTGGCGAACTTGGCCAGCTCTATCATCTCGGGAAGCATTTCCTGTTTTTCATAGGCATTGCACAGATTTACGAAGGTGGTGACCACACCATACAAACAAGATTGATCTCCGTTGCGGGCCAAATCCATCAGAGCGTGAATGGAAGCCCTGTCTTCAATCAATTTTTCTTTGCACTCGGCGTCGAGGGTCAAGTAGGCTAAGCCATCGGCTGCCCACCGACGTATATCCCTGTCCTTTCCAGGCTTGATTAAGAAACGGCGGCATGCTTCCGCCAGCTTGAGAGCTGCTCCATCGCCGAACGGGCGAATGGCCGCATCCTGGCCACCATAACTGCCCAGCTTGCAAAGACCAACCAGAGCCCGAACTCTAATGGAATCATCCTTGGAGTGATAGAGGCGCTTTAGAATATCAACGCCTTGTTCGCAGAGAGCTTTAGCCTTATCCTTCTTAGATGAGGCGGCGATCAAACACTCGCAGGCTACACGCTGTTGTAGTTGATCGTCGGTTGTGGCCATGGCCAGAATCATTTGAAGAATTCCTGCAATGAATGAAAGTCATTATATGCTTGTTTCTTAATTCTTTGCTCATAAGCTTACCTTCTCTGGCAATAACCTGGTTTCCGACATCCAAAGGTCCGCTTAACAAAGCAGTTATTGCCACCGTGACTCGCACCTTGGACTCCATGTCAGGCGCCAGCAGCTTGTCCTTTATGAACTCATCGATTTGTTCTGTAAACTTGAGCTTGGCCTCATCGTAGTACATGTTCTCGTAGATACGGGCTAAGCACACCGAAGCAATGGTGGACGACGATCCAGTGATATCCATGGCACTCTCGTACTTGTAGTCAGGCAGTTCCGAGCACACCTCCAGCAAGCGGCACAAGCCCCTGATGGCTACCAAACGCTCAGCCCACTCAAGGGCGGAGTAGTGAACATTTCGAGTGATCAACTCCATTACAGCATCCCTAGCCGCTCCAGAGATAGTACGATCTGTGATGCTGTAGACCAGACAGGTTAGAAGAGTGTCTATTTCGCGATTGTTTTTTGAACAAAGCTCCTTGCCTGGCTTAGAATCTGCTTTGTTCTTCAAGCCCGACAAGGCGTTGATGATGGTTTGCAGGCAATATTGGGCAGTGGTTACACAGTCCTCGTGTTTCTGGTCGAGAACCCTCATGAACCACGGCACCCCCAGCTCTGTTAGCACACCCTTAGTGCGTTCTACGCTATCTAGACAGAGAGCTGCTACCACGCGCACCATATTAACGTAAATATCCGAGTCCTTTTCCAGCTTTGCCAAGGTGGCCACTTTGGCGATGCAGTTCTCCTTGTACATCAGCTCGGCACCTGTCTGTTCTTTAGCCAAGACCACCAGGTTATTGGCAGCAGAGCGGCGTTTCTCAATGGGCGAGGCAAAGTCGAAGGTAAGATCCATCATCTGTTTCACCTTCGTGGAGGTCTTGGAGTTGCGAGCAGCTCTTTCCTCCACAATTACGTGCAACCTCTGCAGCATAGGCTGTACAGTCTTATTGCCGGGATCAGCCTTGAACAAGGCAGTTCCATCTTTGTAGGCCTCTTCAAACTTCTCCAATGCCTCATAGGCTTGGGCGCGGCGGAACAGAGCCTTAGGGTCTCCCGGGCAAGTTTTTAGAGATTCCGTGCAATCTTCCACAGCGTTCTCATACTTTTCCAATTTTAAGTATGCAGCAGCGCGATTCTTGTAGAAGACAGGCAACTCCTTGTGCTTTTCGCCCAGTTTAATGGCGTTACTGTAGTGCTGCACTGCCTCCTCCCAACGAGATGCCTTGAAGGCCTCGTTTCCTTTGTCCTTAAAAGTTCCGGGATCGGATTCATCGCTGGTGATAGCGTTGGTCATTGTTACACAATTGGCTCTGCAAAAGGAAGCAAACTGTAGGAAAAACTTCTCATTGACCAGAAATGACTCACGTTTTGGCCTAATTTTTGGACTGCCGAAACTTCTCGATCACTGGCGCACTCACACAAACATACACTCGTACACGACGTCTGCAAGCGGGAAAATCAAGCACGTTGGGTGGGAAAATTCAACCGTCTGCTGCGCTGTTCTATATATAAATACGATCGAAGAAGAATCAAACCAAAATAGTTGCAACAGTTTGCCGCAAATACAGTGCTGCTAACTCGTGAAGATAAAATTTATCGATACTGTATGTTTACATTTTATGAACTGCAGCTGGTGCAATAAAATCCAAACAAAGTGATTTTTGTAGATTTTGTTTCATAATTTTCTTCTACAATATGTTTCTTTATTCCTGTTTTATAAGATCAATTATCAATTTATTTCTGTTTTATACAAAAATTACGAATTAAATGTAATTAAACAAACCAAAACATTTGCAACAGTTTGTTGTCTTTTAGGAGCTGCCCACTCGCGGAAGGTTCCTGGTAAATCTATCGATAATTCGATTTATCATATAGTCCCATCGCTAACGGAAAGCTGCTGCATGAAAAAATTCACGGAATAATTGTTAAACGTAAACAATAATATTGGGAAGAAATGGACACGGGGTCTGACAACAGCGATGACGAGGGCTCCATTGGAAATGCGGGCGGTGATCTGGGAATGGATCTGACCGGCATTCTGTTCGGCAACATCGATTCGGAGGGCAGGCTTCTGGACGATGAAGATGGTGAGGGTCGTGGGGGCAGCGGCTTCGATGCGGAGCTCCGGGAAAATATTGGCTCATTATCCAAGTAAGTACACATTTTAGGATATATGTAGGTGCAGTTTCCGCATCATCCGACTACGGAAAACCACTTTCATCTGTCACATATCACCAAATTATGTTTAAAAGATAAATACATGAATACCTTGTTTCAGATTGGGCCTGGGTTCCATGCTGCACGAGGTCATTGATCGCAGGGAGGCCGAGCCTTCTTCCGACGAGGAGGATTCTGATAAACCCGAAGCCAATGACAGTGGGGGAATGAGTGCATTCGATGCCCTCAAGGCTGGTGTCAAAAGCAATGAAAGCGAAGATGGGGCTGTAAAGGCCCAAGACGATGCCATTGACTACTCCGACATCACGGAGCTTTCAGAAGACTGCCCCCGTACACCGCCCCAACAATCAGAAACCACATCATTTGATGACTTGGAGGATGCAATACCCGCATCTAAGGTTGAAACAAAATTAAGTGAGTAATCGTTGTAATAAAAATCTGGTCATTACTGATTATCAAAACTTTGCAGCCAAGGATGACAAAGAATTGATGCCGCCGCCAAGTGCACCCGTACGCTCGGGAACTGGCAGTGGGACAGAAGAAACCCCAAAAACGTCTGAAACCTCCACAACCAGTAGCGATAACAAGGCCATCGACCCCAAGGGTAATCTATCTGCCACGACAATTTAACTTTTAATTTATGAGATTTTCTATCTTTAAGATGCTGATCGAAAGTTGGACACACCGCTGGCTGACATACTGCCCTCCAAGTACCAAAACGTGGATGTGCGGGAGCTGTTTCCGGACTTCAGACCCCAAAAAGTGTTGCGATTTTCGCGCCTCTTTGGACCTGGAAAGCCAACAAGTCTCCCACAGATCTGGCGGCATGTGAGGAAAAGACGTCGCAAGCGAAATCAGTCTCGTGATCAAAAGGTTCTATAATTTTTCTTAATTTAATCGATTTTTGTATTAAAATCAACCCAATCCTGTTGTAGCCCATTAACAACGCTGGTTCCGACTCCCCAAGCGATTCGGAGGAGCCGAGGAAACGGGGTTTTAGCCTTCACTTCGGCCCAGAGCCAACACCAGCTGAGTGCATGTCTGACGACGAGGACAAACTGCTGGGCGATCTCAATAGCGAGGATCTACGCCAAGAGGGTCCGGATAATGGAGAGAACAGCGACCAAAAGCCAAAGGTGGCCGATTGGCGTTACGGACCGGCGCAGATCTGGTACGATATGCTGGAAGTATGCGACTCCGGTGAGGGCTTCAACTACGGCTTTAAAACATCCCAAAACAAAGAAGACCGACGGGCGAATAGCCCCGAACCCGAATCTGCAGAGCAATACATAGCAGACGACGCTTTCTTGATGGTTTCCCAATTGCACTGGGAGGACGACGTCGTCTGGGATGGCAATGATATCAAGTCCAAAGTAATGCAAAAGCTAAACTCCAAGACCAATGCGGCGGGGTGGCTTCCGTCCAGCGGGTCGCGAACAGCTGGCGCTTTCAGTCAGCCGGGAAAACCAGCGATACCAGTCGGTAACAGTGGCAGCTCCAGCAAGGGATCTGCTGCCAGTAAAAAGGCACAACAAAAGTAAGCTAAAATAGGTTAAGATTTTATTGAATTTCATGAAAATCATGCTCTTATTTTAGTGCCCAGGCTAAACCAGCAGAAGCACCCGATGATACCTGGTACAGTTTGTTCCCGGTGGAAAATGAGGAGTTGATCTATTACAAGTGGGAGGACGAGGTGATCTGGGACGCACAGCAGATGAACAAAGTGCCCAAGCCCAAGGTGCTCACCCTTGATCCCAACGACGAGAACATCATCCTGGGCATTCCTGATGATATCGATCCTTCGAAGATCAACAAAAACACTGGTCCACCACCCAAGATAAAAATTCCGCATCCTCATGTTAAGAAGTCCAAGATTCTGTTGGGCAAGGCTGGCGTGATAAACGTGCTAGCAGAAGACGCGCCACCGCCGCCTCCAAAGAGCCCCGACCGCGATCCCTTTAATATTTCCAACGATACGTGAGTAATAATCGAAGGATTTCTATGAAAGGTGTTATATTCTGATCTTATTATAGGTACTACACCCCCAAAACGGAACCCACCCTGCGGCTTAAAGTGGGCGGCGGTAATCTCATCCAGCACTCCACACCCGTGGTGGAACTGCGAGCTCCGTTCGTACCCACGCATATGGGTCCTATGAAGCTGCGCTCCTTCCACCGTCCGCCTCTGAAGAAGTACTCTCATGGTCCACTGGCTATGATCTCGCACCATCCTGTTATGCCGCTTCTGAAGCACATCGTAAAAAAAGCCAAACAGCGTGAGGTGGAACGCATTGCTTCTGGAGGCGGAGATGTCTTCTTCATGCGCAATCCAGAGGATTTGAGCGGAAAAGACGGTGACATCGTGCTGGCCGAGTTCTGCGAGGAGCATCCGCCACTGATGAACCAGGTGGGCATGTGTTCCAAGATCAAGAACTACTACAAGCGCAAGGCCGAGAAGGACAGTGGTCCGCAAGATTATGTGTACGGTGAGGTGGCCTTTGCCCACACCAGTCCCTTTTTGGGCATCCTGCATCCTGGCCAGTGTATTCAGGCACTGGAGAACAACATGTACCGAGCTCCCATCTATCCCCACAAGATGTCTCACAATGATTTCCTCGTCATACGTACTCGTACCGGTTATTGGATCCGAGCTGTTAATGCCATCTTCACGGTAGGCCAGGAGTGTCCCATCTATGAGGTTCCAGGACCGAACTCGAAACGCGCCAATAATTTCACACGAGACTTCCTGCAGGTGGGTTAATGGATTCTTTAATTTTTAAATGTTTATAACAATACTTTCGCTTTGTTTCCAGGTCTTTATTTATCGGCTGTTCTGGAAGAGTCGGGATAACCCTCGTCGCATCCGCATGGACGACATTAAAAAAGCCTTTCCCGCCCATTCCGAGAGCAGCATCCGAAAGCGCTTGAAACAGTGCGCTGACTTCAAGCGTACTGGCATGGATTCCAATTGGTGGGTGATCAAGCCAGAGTTCCGGCTGCCCTCCGAGGAGGAAATCCGTGCCATGGTCTCGCCAGAGCAATGTTGTGCTTACTTCAGCATGATTGCAGCCGAACAGCGTCTTAAGGTTAGTGATGGAACCCAATCTTGTTCAACCTTTCTACTATAACTTTAATTTTTAGGACGCTGGCTATGGAGAGAAGTTCTTATTTGCTCCACAAGAAGACGACGATGAAGAAGCGCAACTCAAGCTAGACGATGAAGTAAAGGTGGCACCTTGGAATACCACCCGTGCCTATATCCAGGCCATGCGCGGCAAGTGCCTGCTGCAACTGAGTGGTCCAGCAGATCCTACAGGTTGTGGTGAAGGTTTTTCATATGTCAGAGTGCCCAACAAACCCACGGTACGAATAATATTAATTTTTTAAAATAAACCCATTTAGTTAAATCCATTTTCCGCCCACAGCAAAGCAAAGAGGAGCAAGAGTCCCAGCCAAAACGCTCTGTAACAGGAACAGATGCCGATCTGCGTCGTCTTCCGCTGCAAAGGGCGAAGGAGTTGCTGCGAAAATTCAAAGTGCCTGAGGAGGAAATCAAAAAGCTTTCCCGCTGGGAGGTCATCGACGTGGTCCGTACTCTGTCCACCGAAAAAGCCAAGGCCGGAGAAGAGGGTATGGACAAGTTCTCTCGTGGCAATCGGTTCTCCATTGCCGAGCATCAGGAGCGCTACAAGGAGGAATGCCAGCGTATCTTCGATTTGCAGAACCGTGTGCTAGCCAGCTCTGAGGTTCTTTCCACGGACGAAGCAGAGTCTTCCGCTTCTGAGGAATCCGATCTCGAGGAACTGGGAAAGAATCTTGAGAACATGCTGTCCAATAAGAAGACCTCTACGCAGCTGTCGCTGGAACGCGAGGAGCAGGAGCGCCAGGAGCTTCTGAGGCAGCTGGATGAAGAGCACGGAGATGGCGCTGGTGGAGGGGCTGGTGCCAAAGGTGCCAAGGCTAAGGAGGAGGCGGCGCAGCAGCAACCGGGAGCCACCAGCAATCAGGGCAGAATTTTGCGAATCACCCGAACCTTCAGGGGCAACGACGGCAAGGAGTACACTCGCGTGGAGACGGTACGCCGGCAGCCTGTGATCGATGCTTACATCAAGATCCGTACCACCAAGGACGAGCAGTTCATTAAGCAGTTCGCCACGTTGGATGAGCAGCAGAAGGAGGAGATGAAGCGAGAGAAGCGTCGCATTCAGGAGCAGTTGCGAAGAATCAAGCGCAACCAGGAACGCGAGCGATTAGCGCAACTGGCTCAGAACCAGAAACTGCAACCCGGTGGCATGCCCACTTCGTTGGGCGATCCAAAGAGCTCGGGTGGACACTCGCACAAAGAGCGTGATAGCGGCTACAAGGAGGTTAGTCCCTCGCGCAAGAAGTTCAAGCTGAAACCGGATCTTAAGCTAAAGTGCGGTGCTTGCGGCCAGGTGGGTCACATGCGAACCAATAAGGCCTGTCCCCTGTACACGGGCATGCAGAGCAGCCTCTCCCAATCGAATCCCTCGCTGGCCGACGACATGGATGACCAGAGCGAGAAGGAGATGGGCATGGACGATGATGATTTGGTGAATGTCGATGGCACCAAGGTGACGGTCAGCAGCAAGGTGCTGAAGCGCCACACCGACGACAAGCGTCGCAGTGGCTCTTCGGGACTGACCTTAAAGGTACAGCGGGACGCGATGGGCAAGAAGAAGCGGCGCGTGGGTGCCGATATCCACTGCGATTATCTTCAGCGCCACAACAAGACAGCCAACCGGCGACGTACTGACCCCGTGGTCGTGCTTTCTTCTATTCTGGAGATTATCCTCAACGATCTGCGCTCCATGACGGATGTGGCGCCATTCCTGTTTCCTGTCAGCGCCAAGCGGGTACCAGACTACTATCGGGTAGTCACGAAGCCCATGGATCTGCAGACAATGCGGGAGTCCATCCGCCAGAAGCGATACACGAGCCGGGAAATGTTTCTGGAAGATCTGAAGCAAATTGTGGACAACTCGCTGATCTATAATGGCGCCCAGAGCGCCTACACTGTTGCCGCCCAGCGGATGTTCACCAGCTGTTTCGAGCTTCTTGCCGCCCGCGAGGACAAGCTGATGCGCCTTGAGAAGGCCATAAATCCTCTGCTCGACGACGACGACCAGGTGGCTCTTTCCTTTATTTTCGACAAGCTGCACACGCAAGTCAAACAACTGACTGAGAGCTGGCCATTCCTCAAGCCGGTCAACAAAAAGCAGGTGAAGGACTATTACACAGTTATCGAAAGGCCCATAGATCTGGAGACAATCGGAAAGAATATTGAAGGTGGGAATAATTTGTAACATCTGGGAGTATTCTCTATAACCATCTTACTTTTCAGCTCACCGATATCATAGTCGAAAGGAATACTTGGCCGATATAGAACTGATTCTCACTAACTGCGAGCAGTACAATGGCAGTGATTCTCGTTACACCAACTTCGCCAGGAAGATTTTAGAGTTCGCTCAGACTCAGTTGATAGAGGTAAGTGTATTCATAGCGATCTCTTAAAACTTATTCATCTTTAAAACTTGTATTCTTTTCTTTTTTGTCAGTTTTCGGAACACTGCACTCAGCTGGAAGAGAATATAGCCAAGACCCAGGAGCGAGCTAGGGAAAATGCCCCCGAATTCGACGAAGCTTGGGGCAGTCATGAGATAAAGTTCAGACGCGACAGTAGAGAGAGTACCCCTGCAGACGATTACATCGACGTGGAGGGTACTGTGGGGCAAGCTGCACCGAACACCATTCATCGGGGCATGGGTGCGGAATCGCACACGTCGCAGGCGGCCAGGAAGCCGGCGCCACCAGGTCCGGGTGAGGTGAAGCGTGGCAGGGGAAGGCCGCGCAAGCAACGCGATCCCGTTGAGGAGGGTAAGTGGGAGAGGATGGGCCTTCGAATACTAATACCTCTAAAAACTAGCATACATGTACATTTAAACATTGAACTCTCTCCTGGTCTAATGTGAAAAGCTATTGGTTTGATCACACGCTTCCTTCTACTACATTTCGATATATCAGTAAACTATCAAAATTGTAAACTATACTAGCATAGTGGTTGTGGTCGAATCGGAAACGGTGGATGTTCTTGCTTCTACTAACGAGTAATCGAACTTGAGACAACTGAAATACTATCTATAGAGAAGTCATAATTCGGATCGCCATTTAGATACTTTGACTTCGTAGTGAAACCTAGATGCATGATAGTATGATCAATTTTAAAAATTTAATGTAAATACTAATTATACAAGGTTCAAGACTTGTTCGAAGATATAACATTAAAGATGAGGGTTTTGTGAAATTGAACCATAATTGAGTGGCAGGGACCTACATAGACAGACGGAATCACACTGGAGCTGCTGGACACTTTTGCCACCTGATTGCAAAATCACCTCTTACCTTTTTCTAGTCAAAGCCCTGAATCCGGTTAAACGTGGTCGGGGGCGTCCGAGGAAGGACAGCCTTGCCTCAAACATGAGTCAGACGCAAGCTTACTTCCTGGATGAAGGTAAGCCACTAATCACCGACAAAAAAATAATCAACACACTCATCTCATCTCACCCTGCTTGAATTATATTTTAAAAACATATCATTTCATTCATTAAACCCCCAAAATTTTGTAGACTTTGCATGGGCTGCATTTTTAACGCTTGTTCACATCTACTTTTCTTCATAAATATACTTGATTTAACATTTTTCTTATTAATTTGGTAGCTAAAGTTATGCATGCCATGTTAAGATTTATTTTTATCACATTTACAACAAGTTTTATTAAATGTTGCATTTATTTCAGTTTCTGGTAATGCATACACACCTCTTACCAACTATCCTGTTCATTTACTAACATTATTTTGACCTTCAATTAGACCTTCAATGTTCCACTGACGACGAGGACGATGACGAGGAGGAGGACTTCCAGGAAGTGTCCGAGGATGAGAATAATGCAGCCAGCATTTTGGATCAGGGCGAAAGGATGCATGCCCCCCAAGATACAATGGTGGACTATATCGATCCGAAGAATATCAAAACAGAAGTCGATGTCGAGGCCCAGCAGTTAGCAGGTGGGTGTTTCTATTCAAGTGGTATAGTGATAGGAAAATACTCTATTCAGAACTCAGTGTCGAATTTCTTTACTAATTTACAAACTTCTTTCAATCGTTGATTTCTTTGGATTCTTTTGTGCTTCCAATTCCATTCCACTTGCATTCCACTTTACCCTTTTGAGCAGAGGAGCCAGTCGGCGAGGATGACAGCCAGCAGGTGGCCGAAGCAATGGTGCAGTTGAGTGGCTTGGGCGCCAACTACTATGCTCAACAGCAGCAAGGTCTCTATTATTGTTACTACATGTCTCTGTTGTGTCCCTGATGTGTCGATGTCCCTATTCCCAGCTTGTCACACGTATACTTCCCCCTTTCATGAATGCTGGTTTACTGACATGTTTTTCTTGGTATCTTTCAGATGAGTCCATGGACGTGGATCCCAACTACGATCCATCCGACTTTCTGGCTATGCACAAGCCGCGGGAGAACCTCGGCGAGCCAACCAACTTGCAGGGTGCCTTCTCCAACTTCCTTCAGGATGAAACCAGCTCTTACAATGCACCTGAAGCCAGTACCAGTGCCGCTGCGGCGGCTGCTGGTGTTGGCATGAGCCTTGCCTCGCAAGATGATGATTCTGTAGCCATGCAAATGCCACCTGAAATGCCTACCACGAGGCTAAACAACGGCTTGGGCATCGATGATGATCTGGACATATCGGAGAGTGACGAGGAGGACGACGGCACGCGGGTGCGCATCAAGAAGGAGGTTCTCGACGACTCGGAGTTTGGGATGCAACAGAATCAGCACCATTTCCAGCAGTTAGGCCCACCGATTGGCCAACAGTCCCAAATATATGTTGTGGATTCGCCCAACGGGCCGCCCACACTCGATTATCAGCATCCTCCCCAGCTGGATTACTCGCAGCATTCCCTGGGAATGGAGCAACTGCAGCAGCTTCAACAAGTGATAGCACAGCCAACGGAGCAGCTGCAGCAGCAACCACAACAAAATCCTCAGGGAGACAACGATTACGCCTGGACTTTTTAGTTCTTTCTAAAATATTTTGTCTATTTGTTAGTTATTTAAGTCTAAAACCAATATAATTAAGTTGATATTAAACATTTTAAGCAAATGTCTGCTGTCAATTGAGATAATATTAGAGTAGGGTTTTCAAATTAAAGAATTAAATTCTCTTCTCTTTTAAAATAATATCTGATGGATAAATATTTTTATTGCTTCGATTTGATATTCATTCTGATAATTTAATACAATTTGATATACTTTTTGAGAGATATTCCAATTTTTAAAAATATCCAATTCACTTGTTTCTTCGAGAATTCTATCTACGAGTGCAAATGCAATATATGTTCTATTCATTACGACCAGCTTGCTGCTCTTTAAAATTAAAAACTTTGTAACAGAATGAATAAAAACACATGAAAATTAAAGTGTAAAGACTATAACGCATTTGTTTTTCTAAAAGAAGTAAAACTCTAGTGTAACATTCCGTAAACTCTCATTGTAAATATTTATAGCCATCATAAAAATCAATTACATTAGAGCTGCGCACAGTCCACTGCCGGACTGCCAATCATTTAGTACATAATAGCTCGTTTCACAGTAAACGCGATAACGTAAATCTTAGCTTAACTAGCATGTCACAGTTGTTGTCGGCTCCATCTCCGTTGCCATGACGCCACCTCATCCACCACCCATCATCATCTATCCGCGCCCTATTGCTTCGAGAAATATTGGCTTGCACTTAAGTGATTTATATGTGGAGCTACATGGCTTGCGTGTGTACAGTGGGTGCAGATCTTAAAGCAGTTTCAGGTGACCGGTTACTTTGTCGATGTCATCTGCGGCCGCCGGTCCGATGGCCAGCACAGTCTTGGAGTTGGGCTCGATCTGAGTGCGTCCAGCGTCCCGGATGAGGCAAGTATTCAACTGGTTGCGTTCGGCGGCCTTTTTGATGGCCATTAACTCGGCCTCGCTTTCCACCTTCACGGCTATCTTGGCGCACCCGCAGCTGTCCCAGGCGCGAACTAATCGGGGGGTCTTGCTCACAGCGCTCTGATAGGCACCCACGGCTCCATGGCCACATTGGGCGGCGATCTTGCCCTTGCCCATTTTCAGGTCGTTCCGAACAACGAGGACCATTTTGAAGTTATCGTTGAAGCCGCCGTAGCCCTGCAAAAAAATGCACTTTTATTTAAAGAAATTGTGAAATATTTCGGAAATGCATGTGATGCAATTAGCTTTTTTCAGGAAACGTTTTCTTTCTTATTATTTTTGTTATAAATTTAAACAAGATCACAACTTTTAATAATTAAAAATATTTTTAGATTTTAAGATGTTATAGGCACTAAAGATATCTTTTTTAAATCTATAGCAAAACTTTTAAAACTTTTCAAAAACTTAAGACCTTGGGTGTACTATTATTTTGCCCTCAGCTGTAGGGTACAGAAAATGTTTTAGGACATTTCTTGCATCTTCAACTAAGGACATGGATAACTAATACAGAAATCAGTACAGATCCCAGTCCATGTAGAAAAGCTCCAGAATCTTACCTTGTCCACAACGGAAGCCTCGCCGGAGACGGCACCTTCGGATGGAGGAGCTCCTTTGCTGGATGTCAATTCCTTGGCATCGCCACGCTTCAGGGCATAGCGATAGCCCACGAAGAAGGAGAGCATCACAGCCAGGCCATTGATGACCTGGGTCGTGTCCAGTAGCTTGTCACCCATGTCGCTTCCAATAATGTGTGAATATTGCAATGGAAAAAGCAACCTATGGCGCTCACTTCACGTTTCCCGGTGCGGTCACACCAATTGCAGGTCAAGCTAGTGTCGAAAGCTACTTCGTCCACATGGGTGGCATCGCTGATTTAAAACAACTTGGCAACGCCACAATAAAGAACCGCCAATTATATTTTGAATTTTTGTTGTTTGTTTCTTAACATTAATGGTTTAAAAGAAAAATACTTAATTTTTATTGTTTTTAATGCTACAAAGAGTCACTAATGAAGTAAAAAAATCCAAGAATAGCATAGAAAATCAATAACAAGAATCTCAGTGTGGCCACACCCTCCGCTAACGGTTCCGGCTGGTTTTGCAAGCCCGCATTCTTTGGTCACTCTGACACATACGTGTCTGTAATTTTCTGTCTTCGTGGACGAGGCCCGAGCATTTTGTTAAATCCCCATTTAATTGCATTTAGCTAGGTTAATCTTCGCCAAACAGCCCACAAAGGACAGCCGCCACCATGGGCATTGCAAGCATGTTGCAGATCGACGAGATGCTGGGGGACTTCAACAGAATGAACAAACGTCAGGTGAGCGGCGCCGCATACCCGAGGGTTTAAATAGCTTCCTGAACCATATTGTTTCCCTTTTTCAGTCCCTGTATCAGGTGCTGAGCTTCGCGATGATTGTCTCCTCGGCGCTGATGATCTGGAAAGGTCTGATGGTGGTCACCGGCAGCGAGTCACCCATTGTGGTGGTTTTGAGTGGGAGTATGGAGCCGGCTTTCCACCGTGGAGACCTCCTCTTCCTTACCAACTACAAGGAGGAGCCGGTGCGCGTCGGTGAGATTGTTGTCTTCAAGGTGGAGGGCAGAGACATTCCCATAGTCCATCGCGTGATCAAGTTGCACGAAAAGTAGGTGTTTTAAAGTCTTTCAAAGTTTAAAAACAATAATCAAACTGTATTTTCCAGGGAGGATGGCACCGTCAAATTCCTGACCAAGGGCGACAACAACAACGTGGACGATCGGGGCCTGTACGCTCCCAACCAGCTTTGGTTGACCAAAAAGGATATTGTGGGCCGGGCCAGGGGCTTCCTGCCTTACGTAGGCATCATTACGATCTTCATGAACGAATACCCTAAAGTCAAGGTGAGTCAAGAGCTCGAAATTATCTGAACCTTTGTTGAAACTTATTCTTTCTTCGATTTTCAGTGGGCTATTCTCTCCATTTTGGCCATTTTCGTGCTGCTGCATCGGGAATAGTTTGGGATGCGTTTATTTTGTAGGTTCAATTTATAAGTAGGGAGTGCACAATCTCGAGCCTGTTTGCATTTTCGTTTGAGTATTCCGTCACCATTTCCTTTACCTTCCCCGCAACAAAAACCACTGAAAACCGAATGTTGTCCGGATATAAATTCAATAAAGAAAAATGATTTTTATTTAATGGACTTTTCGTAACGAAGAATCTGCTGTTTTCGAGCACCGCCCCAGCGGTACTTGCTGCATCCGTTTTGAGATACAATTCGGTGGCAAGGAATGAGGATAGCCACTTCATTTCTGGCAACGGCACTAGCCACTGGCCGTATCGCTTTTGGGTTATCCACGCGTTCCGCCAGTTGGGAGTAAGTGCAGGATTGGCCGCTCTTCAAGCCGATTAGAGCACTCCATACAGCTCGCTGGAAATCGGTGCCCAGAACAGCGACTGGAATCTCGTCTAAGTTCTCCTTTTCTCCCTCAAATAGTTTTTCGACCAGATCCTCATTGGCATAGTCGTCTCTGAGAAGCTGTGACTTTGGCCAACGTTTTTGAACTTCATCCAGGGTCTCCTTATCAGATTTCACCACAAAATATAGCAAACAAATTGCAGGTTCCTTTTGGACTAGAACTGTTCCCAATATCATCCTACCAAACTTGGTGTTCAGAAAGCAAAAGTACATCTCTTTCGGCGGATTCGGTAACGGGATTAGACGGATTCTTGATTGTTCTATGAACCACATCGTTTTTAGTTTTTAAAAAGTTGAACTAGTTAAACTAAGTTAATAAAAATAAACCTTGGAAGTTTATTTTTGCGCAAATCGTGAATAAATTTGAACAGTGTGACCATCTGGCCATATGTAGTGGTGCCAATCTTAAGGCCTTGTTAAAAGGGCTGCCAGATTTCAGACTAAAGGCGCGAAACAAAATTTAATTTAAAAAGCAAGCAGTTCAAAAAGTATTTAATTATTTTATTTAATAAAATGTACAAAAAAATGCTAAAAATAAATAAAAATAAATATCTTATTTATATCTAGGTCTCCATTGTAAAAGTTTAATTATTTATTCATCCATATCAAGGAATAAGATACATTCCCTTTCAATCTGAATGTAAAAGGCTGTGGGAAGATATTTGTCCAAAAGGAAACAGCTATAAGCGCATATTTAGGCTAATTCGCATTGATGTTGAAACTAAATACTATTTATGAATGAGGACTTCAATTCCCGATTTTTTTACGATATAAACTTTCACGATTTTTCACGATATACATTCGATTTCTTTAAATCGTGGAATAAAATTAGTCATCCATTTTGGCCAAAATCATGATGTTGCCCCTTTGAAAAATGGCGAAAACTGGGTCAGATTTCTGGTGGCCAGGTTTTGATTTAAGGTTTTTAAGGCATAACATTTGTTGATCGGATAGTTTTGGCCAAGTTAAAGCTACTTCCCTGAAGTAAATCAAGTCCCAAGAAAAAGAGGTGAATAAAATGGCAACTTTTGAGACACTTTTTAAGAAAAATTTCAGCTTTTTGGCGTCGGATTTGAAAAAGGAATACCATTTACGAATCAGGGTATTGAGTGGCTTTTATCTACATCAAAATATTGATCAAATCCAGAAACAATATTTTTTGACTATTTTTGGCTAAAATCATGATAGCCCTTTTAAAAATTTGGAAAATCGATGAAAATTTTAGTTGCCCATGTTTTGAATAAAAATAATGCTAGAGCAAGAGGTAAGATTGGGAAAGCATAACATTTATCGATCGGTTAGGTTTTGGTCAAGTTATGGATATTTTTCTAAAAATATTACGACCTAAGAGGTATCGTATAGGAGAATCTGTGGTATAGCTTTCCTTTTTTTGTTTTGACTTTTAATTTAAGCTCGTAATCTATAATGTGGTCTTAAAATCCTATCTATCAACTGTATGCAAAACTCTTTTGGTGAAAGGAATTTGATGAATTTCCAACGCAAAATGGTGGCCGAAATGAATCATTTTGAAAATCCTCGAAAAATCTACTGTTAGCGAACATGTGATGAATAGAATCATAATCCTCGAGCCGTGTCTGTCAATGCAATGATAGATTTGCATATGAAATTTTGGCAATTTGGCAATTTTGGGTTCTGCTACCAATTAATCAAGATATTCTGGATACCAAAAACTTCGAAGGCTATTATTTCGACGGGCCTTTTTAATAGAATTCCGCAGTGGCATGTTTTTATCACAGTAATTGGAAAATGGACTCTTAAAAATCATACGCCCTGTGGGCCTGAAATAAAACTTCCCCCAAACCCTCCTTCAGTTTAAATAAGTTCTCCACACAATTTATTAACAATTTGCAATATCTTTTATTATTTATTCATTATGCGGTTGTGTTGTACAGTTATATTTATATTACAATTAGGACTAGATTAAATATACAGACGTACATGAAGATTGTTTGACCGATTACATTCTAGCGCAAAAACGAATAACTCGGAGCATACTAAAACTTAGCTAATAATACTACAGACGAGTTGTGTGTGGGCGAGGGGTGGGGTGTAACACTATGCTATTTTGTTTTTAAATTATTTGTATTATTTAAATTTTGGATTTTGCTTTTGATTCAGTTGTTAGAAGTAAGTATTTTGTCAATTGCTCTGCGTGCCATTAAGATTAATATTTAAATAACCCTGAGTTTAGTTTATGCTATTTAGTTGAACAAACTTCTGCAGTGGCAATGCAATGTCTATGTTTAAGTATTTACAGCCCCCAGATGGCACCTCGATTCCACATGTAGGATCATACCGTTTGATTACCAAATGTTGTAAAGATTTTTCTACAATACGATGTAATTATTACTTATTTTTATTTCACTAATATAATTTATTTTTCTCTGATTTTTTGTGCATTTTCTATTAATTTATCACAACGAAATGCGTCAACATTTTGGCAGCAAACAAAACAACAACACCAATAACAATAACAATCACATCTCAGAAGAGAGTTCAACTTTGCTTGGATGTTGCTGCAGATACGGATGTTGCTGCTGCCACGGTTGCTGTTGCTGCAGCGGTCAGTTCACTGCTGCCCAGATCGCTAGTCTGCGGTTTCATCTGCAACTCCGGCGGATGCTGCTGCTGTTGCAGCTGTGGCGGAGGAACTGGCTTTTCGCTGATAACAGGACCCAGGATATCTGCTGGAATTAGGCCCTCCTTGGCCCGTTTCTTTTGTTTCATGCGGCGATTCTGAAACCAGATTTTAACCTGAAAACGGAATAGTTTTATGATATAGATTTTATTTTATTGATTTAATTATTGCTATTAAAAATAGTTAATTTTTTTGAAGTCCTCACCTGCGTTTCATTTAGCTGCAGTGTATTGGCAATTTCAATACGTCGCGCCCGTGTCAAGTAGCGATTGAAATGGAACTCCTTCTCCAGCTCCGTCAGCTGCTTATTGGTGAAGTTGGTCCGGCCGGAGTTGTTGGTGTTGCTGGACATGCTGCTCACGCCCATGCCGTTGGAAAGACCATTACCCCCCGCCGCATTGTTGCCCAGCATTAGGGAATTCTGCACGGCCAGGACGTTGCCGATCCCAACGGATCCGTTCCCTCCCACAGAACCGTTGACGACACCGTTGCCGCCGCTGCTGCCTCCCCGGCACATGTCCAGCTGGCCATTCATCTGGTAATCGTTCATATTGGCCATACCGCTGGTATGTAGTTTGGCTGCAAAGGAGAAAGGTGAAGGATATGCGAGGTATTATTACAGGTACACTAAGCGAAAAAGTAAGATATATGTAGTAATATTTGTTATATGATATCCCTTTACATTTTTCCAAGTGCATTCTTTGCTTTTCTTGTGGTTCCAACAAGCCATAAAAAGGGAGTGTTTAAGACCTCAGGTGAGCCCTGAGATCCCTTAACGTTGATCTTTAGCTGTCGCAGCTAATCATTGTGAGAGTTTAGACCCTCTTTCCTTCTGCCCTGCCCTGGACTCTCTCTTTCTGGCCATTTGACTTTTGGCTTGTTTGCGTGATTTTGCATTTTATTCATAATTTGACATGCGCCCCGTGGCTAAAGCCGACGATGATGAAAATAATTCCTTTTGGCCGTTTTGCCTTTTCATGGAAGGATTTAATGCGCTCAATAGGTTTGTTTGGAAATATTGGGATTATCCTGACAGCGGGCAGTTGCGGGCAGTTGGTGCCCCTAACTCTCAGATCCTCTGATCTCAGATTCTGACTACCTTTCACTTTATTTTGGGGGAGGAACGGGAATTATGGTATTTGTGGTTTCGTCTAAGACGTGCTGACTTTGACAGGAAAACGGATAATTTCAGGTATTCTCTTAGGTACTTTTTAGAAATCCCAATTTCTTCTGATAGTAGGGGTGTGAAATAATACTGTCTTTGCAATAGGATTTTTCCTTATAGAGCTGAGACCACGAGGCTCATAAAAAACCTTTTCACACAATCATAAATCTTAATGAACTTTCATTCAGACTCCAAACATAAATCAATTAATAAGCATTATTCGACGAAACTTACGAGTTTCATTTATGCTCGATGATTAACCTTCTTGAAGTTAAAAGGTGCCGATCACCGGCCATACTAATTTGTATTGCCCCCGAGTCCGTTTAGTTATCGAGTTGGCTTAACAGTTTTTAGGCAATTGGTTGATTCGAGTGCCATAAATCAAACGCCATGCCACTTACAATAAATGTGGTTTACAGAGCTCGAGTGAATGATGAATTTATGACTGCTCCTCCAAGTGCTGCTACCGATACCCAAATTGGCATCCAGTTTTCGAATCCGCACAGTAGCTGGTCGCGCACCTTTCGAGGATTTGGGAGCTCTGTTTGCGCGGCCCGGGTCGATAAGTGGCAGTCAGGCTGAGGAGACCAAGCTGAAAAGTCTTCTATCGTAATGCATACAGGAATGTCTAAGAAAACAAGCCCCAGGATTATGTTGCCGAGTGGCTTGGGCTGCATTTGAATTTTCCCGCAAACAGCCAAACAAAGACAAACAAACACACCCAGTGGCAGTTGCACCGTCCGCAGTCGCACTCACAATCAATACCACATTTGGCTCGAAGTAGCTGCATTCCGGTTGGGTTATCAATATGCTGCCTGCCAAGGCTGTCTTACTTTTTGATGCACTGTGGTAATACCATTACTGTTTATAGCATAATTTTATTTAATATGATCTGGACTAGACTATAAAAATCTAAAGAAAAATTTCTCTCTTTTAAGTTTTTTATATTTTTTTATAGACTACTCCCTCATGATCACAATACCTATTGATTTTTCAGTATATAGGCACCTCGAATACCTTTGTACCTTTTGTGAGATATACCTTTTGTGGTAGGCATATCTTTTGGTCCCACCGCGACACGGTGCGGCCTCTATTTGTGGCACGGCTTCTGCTGGTGTCGCTCGGGTTGTCAAACATGTCGCGGCCAGTTGGCGGCACTGTCGCTTTTGTCCGGCGCCAACCGATATCTGCTTTGTAATATTAGTTTTAGAGAGTATTATCGGGGGATCGCTTCCACTTCAATGCTTCGAATGCCGGAGCAGCAGTCGTTAGGAGAGTGTATGTAGAAGTGTAGGGACTCTGGGGGCTTCTCTTGGCACCCACCCTCTGCCAGTGAAGGCCATCTCACTTGGCGGCATCCGAGGGGTTGGGTGGTACCAGTGGGCTGGCACCATGGCGCTTAAATGACACTGTTGACAATCAATGTAAACATCCAGAGGCACTGCAGCAGAGCCAGCCGGGGATGAGCTGGGCGGAGGAGTTGAGTGCAACAGCTAGGGGCGCCACACAGAGTCAATGTAATTCGATAACATCTCAACTAGCGGTAATTACAATCGCAGGTTTAGCCCGTCAAGCGTTTGTTGACTTTTGCATATCCGTCCTTGCATCACACGGTTCTCGTGTGAAAAGCGGAAAAGCTGGGAAAATCTGAGGAAGGCACACAAGAAACCTTGATTGTCTAATCGAGTTGAGGAGAGGGTGGATTAGAAATCCCTATCACCAAGATATCTGGGGCTTGACTTACTTTCTGAAATCCCCCTGACTGCAATATCTATTCATTATCGTTCGAATATCGTTTCCTACTAACAGGTATCGCAGTATGAGCTTGTCCTTGATTTCCACACTTCAAGTACAGTTCCCAGCGGCTGTGAGTCATCGCCATCGGTTGGCAAACGGCCATTTTTGGTATGATATAATAGATATTATCATTTCTATTATGTAGGCGCCACTGCCACTTTACGGAGATCCCCCGCACACACACTGGCACTGGCACTGGCCCAGCTTGTGGCGCTGCGACAAGCTGACAATCCGGGTAGCATTACATTGGGTCCGTTTTGGGGCGATTAAATGGGCCTGGGGCCCGAAGCCCCCAGCCGTAGACGGGTAGAACGTGTACGGAATCCAGCCGGTCCGGACTGGAGTGCGTGGAACGCCGTCTGGCCGCCACGGCGGCTCAATTGATAATAATATTTAATTCGAGTGCAAATAGAAAATTATATTTCAATTAAAAGTAAATTGTTTTAATTGTTGATTAAACACTACAGCAACATCAACGTCATGTGGCGAAACTTTTGAGAACCCGTAGCACTTTCCCCTAATCTGGGGGCCATAAAAGTGCACAAAATGCTGATCGAAGTATGCTGACGATCGGTGGGTTTAGTGACGATTTGATTGATCACCTTCTGGATAATTTATGGCCTAGTCGCTGCTAAAAATGCCAATCTAGTTCATAATATTTTGCAATCAATACAATTCGTAGTATTTGCCCTTAAAGGGACAGATGTTCAACTTCACTGGCCAGAGGTCATTCCGAACTAATTGAGTTGGTAATCTCAGTCGAAAACCCTTTTATTCCGGGGGAGGGTTGACCCAGCTAATTAGGCACAGTCAACACTCTTTGGCATTTCGGGGCCTTGTTCAAACTCGGACTCTGACTGTGAGTCCGACTCTGAATCGGAATCTGACTTGACTAAACTGCCATAATCCCGTCGAAAATCCACGAGCCATGTCCATTCATTCTGTCAGTTTTATTGGCCGCCTGTCAACCCGAGACTTTTTCCACATGTCATGCGATGATGCAGTTGTATCTTGGTATCTCTACATTTCAAACACGAATCGTGAAATGCACAAAAACCAACCAAAATTCTTATAATTGTATCTACATATCATCATTCCTCCAAATCACTGTATATATATTCAAATCAAAGGTACAAAGGCAAAGTCAAGTTTTCCAGCTTAATTGAAAGTTTTGTACGGGCGGCATAGCAGACATCCCGCAGCGAATTAGTCACGATGTCTAACACACATGAAAATTGTTCGACAAAGGTATCCAAAGAGACCTTCTTGTAACGAAGCAATCCCCAAATCAACCCAAAATTTGCTGGCTGTCTGAGTCAGATATTAACCAGGTATTGAGGTATTGGGAAAATGTCTCAACTGGCGCCTAGGCAGCCGTTTCTTAATCTTGTTAACTGTCTCCCCGGAAGAAGTTTTCAATTCCTTATCGGACATCTCTGATCTGTTTGAGCCGCTCGGATGTCTGTCTGTGTTTGGGTTTGTTTGCCTTTTTTTTTTTTTTGAAAATTATGTCGCCGTCACAAAAAACACCATATAGAGCGCGATTTAAATATTTACACAGATACTCGTATGCACATATTTGTGTTATCTTAATAGCAACGTTTTGGCTACTGTTTTTTCTGTTTGTTTTATTTCTATTTTGTAGATTACGCTGAATTCCGGTAGCCATCCGATAGACTCAAAATCAAAATTGTCGACATTATTTGTACTACATTTATTAATTTTTTGGTTTGGCGATAAGAAATTGCTCAACGAATCGACGTGAAGGGTGTGTGTCTTGGAGGAAATTAAATTGGACAGGGTATATGCGGTTCAGGATCAACTAACTCAGTCACCTCCTAAATATTCTGGTGAAATAAAGGCAAACTTAACAAATGGTCGATTATCTTTGGGGGTTTCGGGTGATAATTGGCTAAAGTGCTTTCCTACCTTTCCTACTTTTTAACCGATAGCACTGACACCAGACCACTTTTGTCTAATGGCTTGTTGCTAGATATTTATTTATAAACTTTCGACATAACGCGCTGTGATTTGCAAGTATTTATAGACCTGAGCCACTAAGTAGGTGTGTTTAAGAAACTAAAACTACTGTTTTCAGGGGGTGGCTTAATGGAAGGGGGTTGGATTTTCGATCGTACAGCTGCTCTTTCGGTGTCCCTGCGTGCGTGTGTGCGTTCCCTGTGTTAATTCAATTCAATGGCAGCAGCAGCAGCAACAGAAAAAAAAAGTAAAATCTTAATTCGAATAATACATTCTGACAAGATGACGGATCACCAAACGAAAATGCAGACACACACATGTGCAGATGTGTAGATGGTCATAGTTTCCCTTTTTGTTATTCGTACATAAGTACAATGTATATACGTACATTTGCTGAAGAGCTGTTGAAATAAGGGTGTTCGATAGGGTCTAAGAAAAGGAAATACTCCAACAAAAATGGCTGCCAAATCAAAAAAAAAAAATATAGTATAGAATGTGGGCTGGCACACATGATTCTATACATACAGTCATTGCTATATATACTGGTTGGGTGTGTTGGTTGTGCGTGTGGCTGACAGTCAACACTTTGAGTGGCTCCACTTGACATGGCCCTTCCCCTTCCTTCCAGCAACTCCCC